GAATTTTCATCTGTAGCTCCTCACCTGAGGCTTCAGTGGAGGGAGGGTGGTGTAGGCTGAAGGTGCCTGAGGAGAGGCCGGTGTAGGAAGCATTGGGGGGAGACATGGAAAAGAGGTGGCTGGGAGACCTGCAGTTGGCTCCCCACTCCGTGCACCACCCATGAAACAGCTTTTTTCCAGAGAGGCTCAGGCCCATTCCAGATGCCACAGCTCAGAGAAAGGGAAAAACCTAGCTCTTGGTTGTGACACAGCTGCCCCCACCCCTCAGGTACCCTGCCTACCACACCCTGCATCTTTTTTTTTCTTTGTTGATTAAGGTTATTATGTATGTGTCCTTAACCCCTCATTTCCCACCCACTCCACCGTGGCTTTGAATGGAAGGTATCCGGAAGATAATTCAGCTGAAGGTCATTGATCTAATTAGCATATTTACGTTTTTATCATTATGGAAGGAGAAAACAGTGAAGCTTGTTGGATCTGCTCTGAGGATGTCTGAAGTCGCCCATGTGGGCTGCAGGCTCATGCCCTCACCCCTCTCAGTGTCTGTGTCATTGCATGCCTGCAAGTCCTTTGGTTGATCTCTCTCCCTTACCCTCACCCTCCCCTGCCTTCCCTCTGAGGTTTGAGCATCTGATCGATGCTTCTCTGTCGCTGAGCTGTTTTTGTTCTCCAGTTTGTGTTGTTCATTATAACCCACAAATGAGTGAGATCATGTGATATGCACACCCTATATCTTGATCTCTACTGAGGAGACAGCCACAGAGGCCAAGCCAATGGGTTTGAACAGTCTCAGAAAGTGTCAGTCACTGACATGGGGGTGGGACGGAGAGCTCCACTAACCCAGGACTCTGACTGGTGCTTTCCCCCCTCATGGGAGAGCTGAGCAACTCCAGGTTCCCAATGGGCTGCATGAGTAGGTCTCCACCTAGCGGAGGGCAGGAAGATATTCTGGGACATGCTGAGCAGAGTAGCTCTGGGACAGGAAACACACCATCCCTTTCCCTGAAATCTGAATGGCACCTCCCCCTTCAGGGAGACCCAGAGGTTTAGACTCCCCATTCCACTGAAGCACTTTCAGAAACACACAGTTGAGTGATTAAGATGGACAGCTGGCTGGCAGGTGAAGGCAGGTGGAGGTGGAGCCCAGGAAACCTGAGGGAGGTTGCTAACCTGCCCCTGAGTCCTGTGCTATGAACAAATGGGCCTTAGACAACAGGTTGGCTCCTACCACGTGCAGCTAAGTCCTGTGGAGAAAGACAGATTAGGAAAACAAAACCAGAAAAAAGTGTAAGAAGAGAGGGAGAGAAAGAGAGAGAGAGAGAGAGAGAGAGAGAGAGAGAGAGAGAGAGAGAGAGAGAATGGAATTATAAAAGGAAACAGAGAAGTATGAAGTTTTAAAGAAAAAGGAGAAGAAAAATGAAACTGAACAATCCTATATAATAAAAGCCTAATATGCAAATCAACCAAATAGCAGAATGACTGGTTAGCAGGGGTGGGGCCAGTGAGTGGGCAGTGCCAGGCCAGCCAACGCAGGTGCCAGTGGGCAGAAGAGAAACTGCAATCAGGGGACAGGGACCAGCAGTAGTGGAAGGGCAATCAGGAGGTAGGGCCAGCTGGTTAAAAACCAACCCCCTGAGAAAGGTCAAACTGTGGCTTAGGCCTGCTTCCCTAAGAAGCAGACTTAAGCTGTCAATTGGACATCCCCTGAGGGTTCCTGGACTGTGAGAGGGCTCAGGATGGACTGAGGGACCCCTCCTCCAAAGTGCACAAATTTTTGTGCACCAGGCCTCTAGTAGAAAATAAATTGAAATGAAATGGCCGGGAGAGGAGAAGATGGTGAAGCTTGTTGGATCTGCTCTGAAGATGTTTGAAGCCACTCATGTGGGCTGTAGGCTCCTGACCCCCACCTATCTATCTGAATCTACAGCTGACCCCCAGAATGCAACTGCCTCTGCTGGGCTTGTCTACATGAGGGAAAAACCGAGCTGTGCTCCATGGCCCGTTTTCACCATCGCAGGAGCCGAAGTGGGTCAGCCAATGTCTCCAGGCTCCTTGGGGTCTGCTTCTGCTTCCCTCCACCTGCTGGCTAACTGCCAGGCTTAAGCACTGAAACAGCTTGTGATGGCATCAGGATATTGGGGTGACTGCATTTCCCATGAGGGGAAGTGCCCTCTGCACTTCAGGGAAGAGGGTGGGTGTGTGTCCCCAACCTCCGAGTCTTCCTCGGATGGTTCCCTGACTCAGTGGGCAGAGCCCCTAGTAGTCATGTGGGTGGAGCCTTGGAAGCCCAGAGACTCGGTCTGTTGTTCCTCCCAAGAAAAATGGTGGTTGTGGTGTTGGATGCTCTAGCACTGGGTCCTGGTGGCCACGCCACCCCAAACTCTCCTTGGGTGAGTCCAGAATTCACATACTCCCTCTGCCTGTGGGTGAGTGGCTGAAAATTATTTTGTGTGTTGGTCCTTTATTAATTTATTTCAATTATTATTATTTTAAAATATATTTTTAAATTGATTTCAGAGAGAAAGGGAGGGGTTGAGAGAAAAATAGAAACATCAATGATGAGAGAGAAACATCAATGAGGTTTTCTATTTTTAAAAAAATATACTTGTAGTGAAGGTAAATCCTTTAAAAATAAAGACCTAGAAAACATTCTACATAAAACATATGTAAGTAAAATACTCATAATTCTTGCCCATTTATATGAAACTATAGGCCTGGTGCACAAAATTCCTGCAAAGAGGGGGGTGTCCCTCAGCCCAGCCTGCACCCTCTCACAATCTGAGACCTTTAGGGGGATGTCCTACTGATAGTTTAGGCCTGGTCCCAAAGGAATCAGGCCTAAACCGGCAGTCAGATATCCCTCTTGCAATCCAGGACTGTTGGCTCCTAACCACTCTCCTGTCTGCTTGCCTGATCGCCCCTAACCACTCTGCCTGCCTGATCACCCCTAACCACTCGCCTGCCTGCCTGCCTGGTTGCCCCTAACTACTCTGCTTCCCTTCCTCATTGCCCCTAATTGCTCACCTGCCTCCCTGATAACTCCTAACCACCCACCTGCCTGCCTATTGCCCCTAACTGCCTCTGCCTTGGCACCCACTACCACTGCTTTGTCTGGAAGGTCGTCTGGAAGGTCATTTGGCTGTCTGGTCTAATTAGCATATTTATGCTTTTATTATCATAGATTGATGAGGTTTTAGAAAAGAGACATAGCTAGGTGCCCTATAAAAGGGGGGGAGAGGTTGGTGGTGGCGGGGAGGTTGAAGGTGATGGTGGGGTGGAGTTGTCCATGATCCAGTGCTGAATGCACAGCACCTCTCAGGATCAACATCCAAAATAGGACAGAATTAGGGGAGATGGAGGTGGCCCATGGTCTTAAGAAACACCTCCTAGGTACACACCACATTCCTGGTCAAGGCTGGGCCGGGTCTGGGTCAGCATAACTTCTTAAAAGAGAAGAGCTGTCCTGACTGTGGATTCTGTAATGACCACTTTGAATTCACTTTGTGGTTTCAGGTTCGCTCTCTTCATGCATCAGGAAAAGGGGTGAACTCCCTGTGGAAGTTTCTAAAGCAGAGGTTTTGATGACTTATTTTTCAGATCTTAAGGTGAAGCTTGAGAGGCAAGTTCACAGGATGTAGTGGGCAGGGTTCCCACACCACTGTGTGTGCAGGGCACAAGGTGCCAGTCACACAGGAAGGGGACCAGCTCTCCTCACCCCCAAAATAGCAGGTGCTGAGGGTCTGACTTGAGTCGCATCTCTGAACTGCCCTCTTTAGTTTTCCTAAACTCTACAATCACACATTGACTTTAACATAGCTCGCTGCCATGTGAAAGTCAAAACAATTGTTCCATCTATAGTATTTAATATTCTGGTGCTAAGCTAATGAACAAAATGGTTAAGGATATGAAACTAGTTATCAATTCCATTAAAAAGTCACAGAATTGCTCCCTTTATTTTTTATTTTTGAGGTGAGAGCCTTTAGTATACAATCTCTTAGGTACTTTGGGGGTAATATGATACAGCATTGTTTGCTGTAGTCACCATCCTGTACATTAGCCCCCCAAATTGTTCATCTTATCACTGAAAATTGATACTCTTTTACCAACATCTCTCCTTCCCGCCACCCCCCCTCTGTGATAACCATCATTCTCTCTGTTTCTACTCGTTTGTCTTTTTCAGACCCCACACATATGTGCGATTAATCAGCATCTGTCCTCATCTGTCTGATTTACCTCATGTAGCATAACACCCTCCGGTCTTTTAGGGTCATTACAAATGGCAGGATTTCCTCCTCTCTTGTGGCTGAATAATATTTAACTTTATGTCAATTCAGAAATGGGCAATTTCTGCCAGTCAGAGCATTCTACACATGAGCTTTGAGGGGCAGCACTCCCCCAGACCATCCCCGCAAACACTGATGTGCTGATGCCACGTGGGGACAGCTCTGGGGAAATGACACGGGTGGCGTCTGGTGAAGAGAGGAAGGACTGTGGGCCCAGAGAGGGTTTGGATATCATGTTGGATTTTTAATTCCCAGGCTTGTATCTGACTTAGCCCATTTATTTCATTATGGAGCCCAGGTTAACCCCTGTGAACTGAAGAGATGAAGGAGCGATAATGCCCATCTGGTAGTATGATGATTAGATATAAAGAACATTTTATTACATGAATGTGGGAGAGAGTGTGAGTGTTAGAGGTGGGTACCCACACAATCATGTGGGATGGACCCTCAAGTGAAGGGTTGAGAAAAGAATCCGGGGGGGGAGGGGAGGGTGTCATCACAGAAAGTCAACCAAGACAGGGAGAGAAAGTAGACATTAAATGGAGGAAAAGTCCAGGGAACAAATATTTCCTTCACCCAAATCATGTGTATTCCCCTGGACATTCCTGGGAGACAGTTTCCACAACTATGGTCCCAACTTTCCTTCAGCACCTCCTGGGATCATGAGATGGGCTCCAAGGCTCCTCCTCTCTGAACAGTGTGGTGTTTCCTTTGTGTTCATGTCCTGGGTTCTTCTCAGGCTGTTTTGAGCCTCAAATAGCAGTACCCCAAGCACCACCAGGACCACGCCTGCCACGCCCATCCGGATGGAATTCCCCACCGTGTAGTCTTAGGGGTGGGAGGTGGACAAAGAGGTCATAGATGTCAGAGTGGACCAAAGTCAACCGAGGATGACATCCAGAACCTTGGCTGTCCACCCAGGAGACCCACCTCCCTTTGAGAGGACAGGAACCTCTACTCCCAATCCCATACCTGAGAGTTTCTCCCACTCTCCCATCTTGAGGTCTGACCTGTTTGGTGATGGGCTGAGGGTGTCAGCAGCTCCTGAGAATCAGGATACGAGGGTGTGAGTGAGGACCTGGGGAGACAGGAGCTTTCCTTCTGGGCCCTGTGCTCTCAGATGCCCCATTTCTCAGGTGATGACCTTTACACCATCCCTCCATGAGCCTGTCTCTACTAGGCCAGGTTCCATGGGCTCTTCGTTGGATGACCTCAGCCTCCTATGATCCCTGAGTTCAGAACCTGTTCTGAGTGACTTTGGTAAGAGCTGTACTTCTCAAGTTGAGGATGATGGAGAACAATGATCTCAATGCAGAAATAATTTGGTGCTGTGTGTTTCGTGTCTTGCTGGAGACACAGAACTCATAAGGCTAAACATCTACAGCTGAGAAATCCCACTAAATTGACAGCTAAAGACCCAGGATTCATGGAGGAAGGATTGGTGGTAGGGACTTCAGAATATCCTGTCAGTGGCAAACTCCTGGGCCCCAGCACTTCTTACTGTCTCAGGATCTCCAGGGATAGGGACATCAGGTGACATATCAGCAAGATAAGGTCAAGGCCCCCTCACCTGAGACCAAAAGTTCCACGGGGTCACTGGGGAGTGACAGCAGGAAAGAGGAGGTGCTATGTGAGCTGTAGCACCTGTAGGTCCCCTTGTGGGCTGAGGTCACAGGACTCATGGAGAACTCTGCCTGATTCTGCTCAGCTGAGTGCTTTGATATCAGACATAGGGGAGGATTGGCTACTCCTTCCTTGGACAGAAGAAATGTGTCCCTCGGGCTCTGTGACTGACACAGCATGGTCACGTTCTCTCCTGAGGCCAAATTGTGGCCTGGCTGCACTGAGAGGAAGGGTCTGTCAGGCAGGTGTCCTGGAGAGAGGGAGGAAGGGTAAGGGCTGCCTGCCCACCTTGTTCTCTCTGAGGATCCTCCTCTTTGTCTGTCTCTGTTTCTCTGACTCTTCCCCTCTCCCCTCCAACTCCCTGTCTCTCTGTATCCATTCCAGGGGCCTGCACTTTTATCCTGGCCTCACCACCTGAGACCCCCAGCAAGGCCTGTGCAGAGTCTGATTGAGCCCACTGGCTCCTCACCTGCCACTAGGATGTCCAGGGGGTCGCTGGGGGCCGACCACTCAGAGGAGAGCTTGTATCCACCGTAGCATCTGTACCGGCCCCCGTGGGAGCTATTCACAGTGCCCAGGGGAAAGTGGGCCATAGAGAGCCCACCCTGGGGCTGCAGGACGATGCTCTGGGAGAGGTCCTGTCCCCCTTCCTTGTGCAGAGCGAATCTGTCATAGCCGACATCAGAGCGACATTGGATGGTCAGGCTCTGTCCAGAGGCCACGATGGGGCCCTGCTGGCTCAGAAGGGAGGGCTTCCCAGACTCACCTGGGGAGAGGAGACATGAATGACAGGGGCTGTCCCTCCCATCCTGGCATCCAGGTCTCACTGTCTCTATGTTTTCGACTCATGTGCCCCTTCACTCCACTCACCTCACCCTCTCACATGGGGCACCCCTCAGAGCAAAGATCCAAATAATATTGTCTCTCCTTGGGTGAGACAATAATGGGACTCACCTGAGACCACGAGCTCCAGGGCATCACTGGGTGGTGACCACACCTGCAGGCTCTCTCTGTAGCAGCCATAGCATCTCAAGGTCCACCTGTGGCTGGGTGTCACAGGGCCCACAGAGAATTTTGCCCATGATGGTTCTCTGGGCCGTGGCTGTGTGTCCTGCATCCAGGAGAGCCTGTGATCTCCTTCCTTAGCCAGGATGAACCTGTGAAATCCCTGCCATGAGCTACACTCAAGGGTCACATTTCCTCCCGAGGTCACAACAGGGCTGGGCAGGGCTGAGAGGTTGGGCTCATGGTAGTATCCTAGGAGAGACAGAGACTGCATATTAAATGGACTTCATACTCCCCAAGGCCGGGCTGGTGAGAGGGAGACACCCTGAGAGCAGACCCCCTTCCTGAGGGCAGAGCCTGAGGCTGGGACACCTAAGTGTCCTCTCACCTGTCACCACTAGCTCCAGGGGGTCACTGTGCCCTGTCCAGCCAGTGGGGCTGAGGTAGTTACAGCGATACATCCCTGCATTATGCTCTGCCATGCGTGTGATGGAGAACTGGCCCGTGACCTCGGGCTTCATTCGGCTCGGTGTGTTCCAAACCACAGGTTTTCCATCCTTGTACAGATGAAACATCTGGGCCTCCAGGGTCCCCTGACACCAGAGGGTCACAGAACTCCCATAAGAGACCACAGGGCCTGGCTCAGCTGATAGAGTGGGTTTGTGGAGAGTCCCTGGAAGGAAACCAAAAGATGCATTACAAAGCCCTTCCCCACCCTCATCCCCCAGCGCAATCCAGGACCTGTGTGCTCCCTCCTAAAGCCGCAGCGGTGAAGGAAGAGGAGGACATGGAGCCAGGGGAGGACTCACCTGCCTTCACATGGATGATCTGGCCCAGACTCAGCCCTGCAAGAAAGTGTCTGTGAGACCTTTGCACTGAACAATGTAGCTCATTCTTTCTTCTCAGGGCCCCACCTCCTCGAGCTGCCTGAGCTGGAGGTTCCCCATGAACAAAGGTTATAGCCACCCTGTCCCCTCCTGCTCCCCCCTCTCTGTGTCCACAACTGACCGAGGCAGAGAAGAGCAGAGAGGACGGATGTCATGGCGTCTGCTCTGAGGGCTCCTGCTTTGTAGATGGAGGCGGTCTGGGCCTGAACAACAGAGATGCACAGGATGTGGTGGGTCAGGAGCTGCTGCCTTCCTTCCGGGCCCTCAGAGCTGTGAACCCACAGCAAGGTGACCACCCCGCCCTGGGCCTGGGTGTGAGTGTTTCCATGATGAGAACTCAGGAGGACTATGGGCCTCTGGAGACTCTCAGCCCAGATCTGAGGTCTTTTCTGACTCCCAGGACTCTCTGCCTGGTCGGAAGTCCTGCTTAGAGAGGCCAGAACTAGGTTCCCACTCTGAGTCCACCCTCAACAGGCTGGCTCTATCTGCAGTTCAATTCCTGTTTCCTCAGACTCCCCCAAAGGGAATTCTCTTTCTGCCTTTGACTCATCCATAAACAAATATTTACTAATCACCTGCCAGGAATTTATCCAAGTACTAGAAATACATGTGTGGTGCAGGAGACCAGATTCTTGTATTTTGAGGACTCTCATTAGTAGACTCAGGCATTCTAAGGCCAATGTTTTAACTCATTGTTGAAAAAGGAGAACATTAAAAAAAAATATGATAACAACTGGGGACCATGTCTAGACTGTGTTTGAAGGATCGGCGGTGTGAGTGGGTGGAGACCTAAGAGGTGGAGTGAGAACATTCTAGAGAATAAAGAACGTTCTTGAGACCCCTGCACACATTCAGAGTGTCTGTAAGGGAGGAAGAGAGAGGGAGGCAGAGGGGTGGTGATCACCACACAAGGGCATGGTGTGATGTCTTTAACTCAAAGGGAATATATAAGAAGCAAACAGTTCGGTCAGATCATACTACAATTCTATGTGTCACGTGTTACCAATAAACTAGAGGAATGCAATATCTGTCAATAGAAATAAAATATCAACAGTAATTAAATTCTAATATTGTCTGTTAAATGTTAGATAAACGGCTTATATGGATTTGTTACATCATCCTCACCTATCGGTGGTCAGTCACAAACACACGTAGAGAAGAGAAATGAGAAGAGGAGTCTGGTCCAAGCTGGGGGCAAGGAGAGGAATTTGTGAGGTCTACAATGGTTCTTAAAAGTAGATTTGTGAAAGAATGGAATGGTTGATGGCAGTTCCATTTTTAATTTCTTGATCATTAATAAATGGTGTTGGGAAAATTGGCCAGATACATGCAATTCTCCATTCTCACTTTGCTGAGTTATTTATTTTTTAAATTTATCATCAATGGGTACTGGGTTTTGCCGAATGCTTTTTCTGGTTCTATTGATATGATCATGTAATTTTTATCCTTCATGTTGTTTATGCAGTGAATCAAGTTTATTAATTTATTAATTTGTGAGTATTGAACCATCCTTGCATCCTCGGAAACAGTGCTACTTGGTCATGGTGTATGATCTTTTTAGTTTATTGAGGGATTTGATTTGTTAATACTTTGTTGAAGATTTTAGCACCTATGCTCATCAGGGATATTGGCCTGTAATTTTCTTTCTTTGTAGTGTCTTTATCTGGTTTTGGAATCAGGGTAACACTGAACTCATAAAAAGAGCTTGGACGTGTCACTTCCTCTTGAATATTTTGGAATAGTTTCAGGAGGATAGGTGTTAATTCTATATATATATATATATATATATATATATATATATATATATATAATTGATTTTTTACAGAGAGGAAGAGAGAGGGATAGAGAGTTAGAAACATCGATGAAATAGAATCCTTGATCAGCAGCCTCTTGCACACCCCCCACTGGGGATGTGCCTGCAACCAAGGTACATGCCCTTGACCAGAATCCAACCTGGGACCTTTCAGTTTGCAGGCCGATGCTCTATTCACTGAGCCAAACTGGTTTTGGCTCACTTCTTCTTTGAGTATTTGATAAAACTCACTTGTGAATTCGTCTGGGCCATGGATTTTTATTTATTTATTTTTTTTTTACCCTGGGAGTTTTTTTGAGTCAATTTCATTAGCTGTTAATGGTCTATTTAAGTTCTGTGATTCTTCTTGATTGAGTTTTGGAAGGTATGTTTCTATGAATTTGTGCATTTCACCCAGGTTGTCCAGTTTGTTGGCATTTAGGTATTCAAAGTATTTTTTTTTTTTTTACAATGCTTTGTATTTCTGTATTGTCAGTTGTTACTGAGCCCCTTTCATTTCTGATTTTTAAAATCTTTATTTCTTATCTGGCTAAAAGTTTGCAAAGTTGTTTTCAAAGAACCGTCTTTTGGTTTTGCTGATTTTTTTGGTATTGTTTTTGTAGACACACACACACACACACACACACACACACACACACATTAGAGGCTTGGTGCATGACAGAGGGAGACGTTGGGGCTCAGGCTGAGGAGGAGAAAGTCGGGCTCAAGTGGGGAGAAGGCAGCACCAAACCCTCACACTTCATCCTGATCCTCAGGAGGCCATGAGGGTCCTTCCCTCCCCACCACAGCATTTGGCCCACAGAAGGGTAAGTCAGGGTCTCTGTGGGGAGATGGTGGTGCCTCCCTGGGGAACAGAGGCTGAGTCATGTGGGGGTTCAGGCACCTGTGGAGGCGCTGGCTTTGACACGCCCTTCCCCTGGCTAGGCATCAGTGGCTCCAGGTGTAAAAGGAGAAAATTGTGGCTTAGAGCTTACATTTCCTGTCAGTTCTGGGTCTGAGCTCCTAGGAGAGGGGGCTTCACAGTGAACCCCCAGGACATGATGTTATTGGGCCTATCCCCTTCGTAGCAATGATGGTGTCACTGTGGTTATAATACATGGATGGGTTCCGGCCAGCCTGGCCAGCGGGGAAGGGGGGGTGAGAGGTGAGGGGGAGACATGGTGGTTGGCCAGCCTGCCTGCTGGTCTAACTCCTGGTTGAGGGGACAATTTGCAGATTAGCCTTTTATTCTATAGGATATACACTGAGTGGCCAGGTTATTATGTGTTCAAAGGTCATCATCATCTGGCCACTCAGTTGTATATGCGATGGAATACTACACAGCCATAAGAAAGGATGAAATAGCATAATTTACAACAACATGGATGGACCCTGAGAACATGATGCGAAGTGAAATAAGTCAGACAGAAAAAGCTAAGAACTATATGATTTAATTCATGAGTGGAGTATAAAACTGAAACGTATGAACACAAACAGCAGTGTGGTGGTTGCCAGAGGGAGGGGGTAGGGGGAGAAAGGGGTCCTAATATGAGATGATGGGAGAAGATCTGACTTTGGGTGATGGGCACATGGTCCTGTCTACAGATTATGTAAATTAGTAATCCACACATAAAGCCTATTTGTTCATGTTGACTAACGTCACCCCAATAAAATTTAAAAAAAGAATATTTTACTACAAAACAGTGGGGGAGAGCATGAGGTGCTAGAGGTGGGGACCCACACCAGCCATGTGGATGGACCCCCCAGTCACAGTGGTGAGAAAATAAGGGGGTTCGTCTTAGAAAGACAAACATGATAGGCAGAGAAACTTTTTTTAAAAAAATTATTTTATTGTTTAAAGTATTACAAATAGTAGTACATATATTTCCTTTTTTCCCCCCATTGATCTTCTCCCAGCCTCTCAAGAAAATACACTTTTAATGGGTGAAGAGTCCAGTACAGGGAACAGGCAGAGAGACATTTCCTGCACCCAAACCACATCTACTCTCCTGGACACACTCAGCAGATGGTTCCCACAACTGCTGGTCCCCACTTTCCTTCAGCACCTCCTGGGATCATTCGATAGGCTCCAAGGCTCTCCTTCTCTCAACCGTGCATTGTTCCCTTTGTGCTCCCCCTAGCTCCCCTCCATCCATTTCCTGCCCTCACCATGCCTTCACCACCCTATTGTCTGTGTCTATATGATGTAAGTTCTTAGGTTAATCTCTTACTGCCTCTCCCCCCACCCGTTCCCTCTGAGGTCTGTCAGTCTGTTCCATGCATCCATGCCTCTGGACCTATATTGTTTGCCATTTATGTTGTTCATTAGGTTCCACATATAAGAGACATCATGTGATATTTGCTTTTCTCTGATTGGCTGATTTCACTCAGCATAATAATCTCCAGGAATTTCCATGTTGTCTCAAATGCTAAGGGATTCTTTCTTTTCTTCCTTCCTTCCTTCCTTCCTTCCTTCCTTCCTTCCTTCCTTCCTTCCTTCCTTCCTTCCTTTCTTTCTTTCTTTCTTTCTTTCTTTCTTTCTTTCTTTCTTTCTTTCTTTCTTTCTTTCCCTTCCTTCCTTCCTTCCTTCCTTCCTTCCTTCCTTCCTTCCTTCCTTCCTTCCTTCCTTCCTTCCTTTCTTTCTTTCTTTCTTTCTTTCTTTCTTTCTTTCTTTCTTTCTTTCTTTCTTTCTTTCTTTCTTTCTTTTCCTCCTTCCTTCCTTCCTTCCTTCCTTCCTTCCTTCCTTCCTTCCTTCCTTCCTTCCTTCCTTCCTTCCTTCCTTCCTTCATTTTACAGCTGTATGACATTCCATTGTGTAAATGTATCACAGCTTTTTTTTATCCACTCATCTATTGAGGGGCACTTGGACAGTTGTAAATAACGCTGTTATGAACAAAGGGGTGCATATATTCTTTCTGACTGGTATTCCTGGTTTCTTTCTAGAAACAAAGGGAAAAAGAAAAACAAATGGGGCAACAGCGAACTAAGAGGCTTCTGCACAGCAAAGGAAACCGGCATAAAAAATGAAGAGGGATCCCATTTTATGGGAGAAGCTATTTGCCGATGACACGTCTGATAAGGGATTAATTTTCAAAATGCATAAAGTTCTTCTATGACTCAGCGAAAAGGAAGATAAATAATCCAAATAAAACATGGACAGAGGGCCTGAATAGACAGGTATCCAAAGAGGACATACACATGGTCAAGAGACATATGAAAAAATGCTCAACGTCACAAATCACCAGACATGCACATTAAAACAACAACGAGGTACAACCTTACATCTGCCAGAACAACTACCATCAATACATCAGTGAACAACAAGTGCTGGCGAGGATGTGGGAAAAAAGGGAACCCTGGTGCGCTGCTGGTGGGAATACAGACTGGTGCAGCCACTGTGGAGATCAATATGGACTTTTCTCAAAACAATTAAAATGGAGCTGCCTTAGGACCCAGTGATTCTCCAGAACCTCTTGGGAGCATCAGATCCATTTCCAAAGTTCTGTCTCGCTGCGTGGTGGGTTTGTTGTCTTTTGGTTTCCGTCCCGGCTGCCAGTTCTGAAACAGCAACACCCCAACGACCACCAGGACCAAGCCAGCCACGCCCATCCGGGTGATATTCCCCACGGTGTAGTCTTGGGGGGTTGAGGCTGGAGATTGTGGACAGAGAGGTCACAGAGGTCAGGGCAATATCGAACCAGCCCAGCATCCCTTGGATGTGTATCCAGGTCACCTGACTTCCACTGACTGGATGTGACCCTCTGCACTCAGCCCCATCACTGACCGTGTCCCACACTCACCTGCCTTGGAGTCTGACTTGTTCTGTGATGGTCCCAGGAGACCAGCTGCTCCTGAGAACCAAACACACACAGTGAGTGCTGAGGAGGTATGGGAATGCTTGTCATCTCTCCTCTGATCTCCAAGGAGTCCCCCAACTAATAATACCCATCGCAATCCCTTGAGATGAGCATCTTCGGTGTCTTGTCTTGTGTGTAACTAGGATGCAAAGAGGAACATCTGGGGCTCCATTGTGACTTGAGATCAGTGAAGGAGTGAAGGGGTAGGTCTACCTTTTAGTTCCTCCACCTCAGCCGGCTCCTTATGTCTCTGACTTTGTATTATAACCATAGTTGCTGCTACGAAGGAGACAGGCCCAATAATGTCACATCCTGTGGGTTCACTGTGAGGCCCCTCACCCAGGAGCTCAGACCCAGCACTGACAGGAAACGTAAGCTCTGAGCCACAATTCTCTCCTTTTACACCTTGGACTGACCCTCCTTGGACAGAAAGGCATGTCCAAGCCAACTTCTGAACCCCCACATGACTCAGCCTCTGTTCCCCATGGAGACACCACCTCCCCACAGAGACCCTCACTTACCCATCTGTGGGCCCAATGCCATGGTGTGGAGGGAGGGATCATCAGAGCCTCCTGGGGATCAGGATAAAGTATGAGGGTTTGGTGCTGCCTTCTCCCCACTTGAGCCTGGCTTCTCCTCCTCATCCTGAGCCCCAATGTCTCCCTCTGCCATGACCACCCCTCCTGTCCTCACCCTCACTTACCCCTCTGCAGGCCTGACACTATGGCTGGGAAGGAGTGAATCCTCGAGTCCCTGGCCCCCTGTGGTCCCATGAAATCTCTCCCTGAGTCCCAACTCTCCTAGGATTCAGCCTGTTTGTTCTTGAGATCTGATGGGGCATTGGATCCCCTGAGAGACTCAGAACTGCCCATAGGTTGTTCCATGATGAGGACGCAGGAGGATGCCAGGCGCCCCTGGAGACCCTCTGCCCAGATCTGGGGTCTCTTCTAACTCCTGGGACTCTCTGCCTGGTCTGTACTCAGAGTAGGGCCTCTGAACTCCCTCAGAGCAAAGTAACCCAGTGACTCATGAGCTGTGGGCAGGGGCCCTGTGGAGGTGTGTGTGTGTGTGTGTGGGGCAGGGTCCTTAGAAGGTCCAGCATGAGGACAGAAGGAGGGGAGGATCTGGGGACTCTGGGCCCCTCAAAACTCAGGTTTCTCTCCTACGTCAGTGCTGTGGCCCAGTCAGGGCTCAACTGCTGCCCACCTGGTACCTTCTAGACCCAGGTAAAGGGCAGGGATGTACAAAGGTAGCAGGGTGTCTCTGGGTGACCGTCCCTAGAGCCCCTCCCTCTCTATTAGCCCATATTCCTTCTGGGGACAGGACCCTGAGCTGACAGCTCAGCAGACAGGGTCAGGGGCCCTCACCTGAGACTAGGAGCTCCAGGGGCTCACTGGGGTGTGACAGCAGGAAGGGGGAGGAGCTGTTTGAGCTGTAGCACCTGTAGGTGCTCCCATTGGCTGAGGTCACAGGACTCAAGGAGAACTCTGCCTGGAACTGCCGAGCTTGGCGCTTTGATCTCAGACGCAGGGGGGGATTGGCTGTCCCCTCCTTGGACAGAAGGAAAGTGTCTCTCGAGCTCTGTGACTGACACCGTAGGGTCACCATTCCTTTAGATGCCACCCTGGGGCCCATGTGTACCACCACTGATAGAGATGGTCTGTCAGGCAGGTGTCCTAGAGAGGGAGAGAGGGAGAGGGTGAGGGCTGCCTGCCCACCTTGTTCTGCCCTGAGAGACACTAGGCCTCTCTCTGAGGACCCTTCTCTTTTTTTGTTTTGTTTTCTTTGAGTCTCCCCCTCACACATCCCCGCCCCCCGGTCTTTCTCTCTCTGCCTCCCTTCCTCCCTGGGGCCCTGCACTTTCATTCTGGCCTCACCACTTGAGACCCCCAGCAGGGCCCGTACAGACTCTGGATCCCTGACTGAATCCACTGGCTCCTCACCTGCCACTAGGATGTCCAGGGGGTCGCTGGGGGCCGACCACTCAGAGGAGAGGTTGTATCCACCGTAGCATCTGTACCGGCCCCCATGGGAGCTGCTCACAGTGCCCAGGGGGAAGTGGGCCTGAGAGAGCCCAGCCTGGGGCTGCAGGACAAGGCTCTGGGGGAGGTCCTGTCCCCCCTCCTTGTGCAGAGCGAATCTGTCATAGCCGACATCAGAGCGACACTGGAGGGTCAGGTTCTGTCCAGAGGCCACGATGGGGCCCTGCTGGCTCAGGAGAGAGGGCTTCCCAGACTCACCTGGGGAGACCAGACATGAATGACAGGGGCTGCTCCTCCCATAATCCCCTTCTCCTGGCCTGTATCCCAGGTCTCACTGTATCTCTCTGTGTCTCTGACCCATAGACCCCTCTACTCCCCTCACCTCAGCAATCCCCTCACAGCAAAGATGGCAATAATGTGTCTGGTGCCTCAATCCATGGATGAGACAATAATTGACTCACCTGAGACCAAGAGCTCCAGAGGGTCACTGGGGTGTGACCACATATGGGGCCTCTCCCTGTAATAGCCATAGCATCTGAACGTCCACCTATGAATGGGTGTTATGGGGCCAACAGGGAACAGGGCCTGGGACCGCCCACTGGGCTGTGATTGTGAGTCCAGATGCCTGTAGAACCTGTGATCTCCTTCCTTAGTCAGAAGGAACCTGCCAAACCCCTGCCCTGAGCCACACTGGAGAGTCACGTGCCCCCCTGAGGGCACAACAGGGCTGGGCAGGGCTGAGAGGCTGGGTTTGTTGAAGGATCCTAGGAGAGGAGGAGGCAGTGTGTTAAATGGGGATCACACCTCCCTCATTTCCCCAAGGCTAGGCTGTGAGTGGGAGACTCCCCGAGAGCAGACCCCCTTCCTGAGGGCAGAGCCTGAGGCTGGGACCTCTGAGCGTTCTCTCACCTGTCACCACCAGATGCAGAGGGTCACTGGGCTCTGACCAGCCTGTGAATCTGATATAGTAACAGTAGTATCTCCCTGCATCATGCTCTGTCATGCGTGTGATGGAGAACTTGACCTTGTCTCGGGGATTCCAGTTAGTCTGTGTTTTCCAAAGCACACGCTTTTGTTGTCTATACATACAGAACTCCTGGGCTTCCAGGGTTCCCTGACACCAGAGGGTCACAGGGCTCCCATAAGGGATCACAGGGCCTGGCTCAGCCCAGAGGGTGGCTTTGGAGAGGGTCCCTGGAAGGAAGCCAGAGGCTACATTACAAAGACATTTCTAACTCCCCATCTCCCAGCTCAGCCCAAGACCCTCTTGGCTTATCACCTCATTCCATCACCTCTGTGCTTCCTCCTGAGCCCCAGGGATGAAGGAAGAGGAGGGACATGGAGCCTGGGGAGGACTCACCTGCCTTCACATGGATGATCTGGTCCAGACTCAGCCCTGGAAGAGAGTCCCTGTGAGAGATTGGCACCCGGATGTCTGAGTTGATTCCCTTCCCATCAGGTCCCGTCCACTCCAGCTGCCTGAGGCTAAGGTTCCCCATGAACAAGAGGGTGCAGCTGCCCCTCCCACCCCCCCTCTCCACATGTCCACAACTGACCGAGGCAGAGAAGAGCAGAGAGGATGGACATCTGGCGTCTGCTCTGAGGGCTCTTGCTCTGCAGATGGAGGAGACCTGGGCCTGAAGGACAGAGATGCACAGGATGTGGTGGGTCAGGAGCTGCTGCCATCCTTCCGGGCCCTCAGAGCTGTGAACCTACAGCAAGCTGACCGCTTCACCCTGGGCCTGGGTGTGAGTGTTTCCATGATGAGGCCACTGGAAACTCTCAGCCCAGATCTGGGGTCTGAGGTCAGCCCAGATCTCAGCCCACTTCTGATTCCCAGGACACTCTGCCTGGTCGGAAATCCTGCTCAGAGAAAGCAGGACCCAGGTTCCCACCCTGAGCCCACCCTCAACAGGCTGGCTCTACCTGCAGCTCACTGCCTGTGTCCTCAGCCTCCCCCAAAGGGAATTCTCTTTCTGCCTTTGACTCGTCCATAAACAAGTATTTACTGCTCACCTACCGCCTGCCGAGTATGTGTACCAAGAACAAAAATACATCCGTGACCCAGGAGACCCATTTTGAGAACTCTAATGAGTAGACTCAGGCATGCTAAGGCTAATGTTGTAATTCACTGTTGACAAAGGAGAAATTGAAAAAGTATGAGAACCACTGGGTTTGAAGGAACGACTGAGTGAGTAGGTGGAAACCTAAGAGGTGGAGTGATAACATTTTAGAGAGGAAAGACTATTCTAGAGCCCCTGGACACATACAGACTGTCTGAAAGGGAAGAAGAGAGAGGGAGGTGGTGGCTGGTCATGGGTATGGTAATGGCATGATATCTTTAACAGAAAAGAAATGTATAAGAAACAAACTTATACATCCTTGTGGTACATAGGATTTTATAAGATGATCTGTTTGGTCAGATCATCTTATAAAATCCTATGTACCACATATTACAAATAAATGAGAGAAGTGCAATATTTGTAAATAAAACACCAACAGTAATCTATACTAATAGAAGGGTAATATGCTAATTAGACTGGACGTCTTCCATACATCCTTCCAGACATCCTTCCGGGCAAAGCCACAGTGTTGGGGATCGAGGCAGAGGCCAGCAGGGGAGAGCAGTTAGATGATCAGCTTGGCAGGGGAGAGCAGTTAGGGGTGACCACGCAAGCAGGCAGGTGAGCAGTTATGGGTCAGTGGTCCTTGATTGGGAGAGGGATGTCTAACTGCCCGTAAACTGGCAGTTGGCTATCCCCCAAGGGGTCCTGGATTGGAGAGGGTACAGGCCAGACTGAAAGACTCTCTCTTTCCCCCCTCATGCATAAATTTTATGCATTGGGCCTCTAGTTAAATGATAATAACTATATAAAGTGCTGTTCCATAAGTGGCTTATATGGATTTTTCATGTACCCTTCACCTACCCTTGGTCAGTCACAAACACATGTAGAGAAGGGAAACCAGAAGTCTCAGTGTTCCTTCTAGTCCAAGCTCGGGGTGTGGGAAGGGATTTGTGAGGTCCACATGGCCTTAAAAGTTAGATATGGGAAAGAGTGGGAGGGTTAAAAATGGCCCATTGTATGTGAATGTGTGTGAGTGTGAGTGTGTATGTCTGTGTTAAGTGTCAGTGTGTATGGGTGTAATTGTGTATGAGTGTGCATGTATGAGTGTGAGTGTGTATGTGTGTGAGTGTGTGTATGTATGTGTATTTGTGGCTGTGTGAGTGTGTATGTATGTGTTTTTGTGTTTTGTGTGTCTGTGCATGTGTGCATGTGAGTGTGAGAGTTTGTGAGAATGTATTTAGTGAGTGTGTGTGTTTGTGAGTGTGTGTAAGTATTAATGAGTGTGTATATTGTGTGTGTGTGTGTGTGTGTGTTTGCGCATGTGCTCATTGGGTAACTGGACTTGTCTGATTGGATGGAAACAGAGGTGAGAGCTGAGGCTGGAGGGTCCCATCTGGATGATCATGAACACCCTTCAGTTCAGAAAGAAGAGCCTGGATTTATCCTAAGTTCAGTGAGAACATGGAATGATTTTGAGCAGAAAATGGACAGATTCTGAAATGAGGTTAGATACCTATGTGGAAGGTGATCTGGAGAGGGGAGTGAGGGTTTGGAGCTCAGAGCTCAGGAAGGAGGTGGATGTATCGGCTGCCTTGGAGTGTGTAAAGGTGACCTCCCTTCCTGCCTCAGGACAGTGAGTCCAGAGATGGGGAGGGAGGAACCTGGAGCTGTGCAGATACATCTGCTCCCATAGGATACATCTGCACCTTCTCCTGGCCCTGGGATGCAGGTCCTATGTCTCACACAGGTTCTACCTGACTCTCTGTCTCTGTGAGCAGCGGAATCTCTTTATGTCCTGGGGGCCAATCATCTGAGTCATTGCTGCCCCTTCAAAGCACCTTTGAGGCCGGGTGTCACTCCCCTCTTTAAAATGTGGAGACTTCAGGGTTCAGACAGAAATGATTTTCCTGAAAGTCTTGCTCAAAGGCAGTGACACACACAGGCACATTCAGTATCAGCTGTGGCGCTACCAGCTGAGTGGTTGGAAGACACTTGAGCCGGCCACTTCCTCCCTTGACTTCTCAGCAATGCCAACGCCTTCCCCTCAAAGATGGTGAGAATTCTTCCTGACTGAGAGATGGAGGAAACAAAAGCAGCCATTCAATGCAGATGGAGACGGTGGCAGTTTGAGAGATTGAAAAGCAGAGACGCCTCAGCCAAAGGAGCAGAAGGAAGACTCCAGATCAGTCAGACTGGACACTGGATGCCAGACAGATGAGACTCCGAGAAACAGGTGAGATCTCAGATACTGCTGAGCTGCCTCCCGAGAGCCCGGACTTCCCCTGAGCCCTCATTCTGGGAAGACGCAGAGCCAGGCCCAGGGTGGGGCTGTTCTCTGGCTGCAGGTCCACAGCTGTGAAAACCCAGAAAGGCAGCAGCAGCAGCCCCTGACTGACCACATCCTGTGTGCCTTGGTCCTACAGGCGCAGGCCTCCTTCATCTGCAGAGCAGGAGCCCTCAGATCCAATGATGCCCATCCTCTCTGCTCTTCTCTGCCTCAGTCACTTGTGGAGAGTGACAGCAGGAGGAGAAGGGCAGGAAATTCCCCCTTGTTCTTGTGGAACCTCAGACTCAGGCGGCTGGAGTGGATGGGGCCCTGATTGGAAGAAAATCAGCTCAGACATCCGGGTGGAAAACACGGATGGGGACTCTGATCAAGGGTTGAGTCTGGAACAAGGGACCAGTGTGCAGGCAGGTGAGTCCTCCCTAGGCTCCATGTCCCACCTCTTATGTCATACACTGGGGCTCAGAAGGGAGCACAGAGGTCCTGGGATGAGGTAATACAATGAGAGTATTTAGGGCTGATATGGGAGATGAGGGGGTGGGGGAGGTGAAGGTCTTTGTAATGCAGAGTCTTGTTTCCTTCCAGGAACCCTCTCCAAACCCACCCTCTGGGCTGAGCCAGGCTCTGTGATCCCATATGGGAGCCCTGTGACCCTCTGGTGTCAGGGGACACTGGATGCCAAAACGTTCTATCTGTATAAGGAAAGAAAACGTTTGCTTTGGAACACGCAGACCCCATGGGAGCCCACATACAGGGCCAAGTTGTCCATCAAACAGATGAACGAGGATTCTGCAGGGATATACTACTGTTACTACCGCAGCCCCACTGGCTGGTCAGAGTCCAGCGACTTCCTGGAGCTGGTGGTGACAGGTGAGAGGACACTCAGGGGTCCCAGCCTCAGGCTCTGCCCTCAGGAAGGGGGTCTGCTCTCAGGGTATCTCCCACTCACAGCCCAACCCTGAGGGACATGAGGGAGGTGTGAGCCCCATTTAACACGCTGCCTCCTCCTCTCCTAGGATCCTTCAGCAAACCCAGCCTCTCAGCCCTGCCCAGCCCTGTTGTGTCCTCAGGAGAGAACATGATCCTCCAGTGTGGCTCAGGGCAGCTATTTGATGGGTTCATCCTGACTAAGGAAGGAGATCACAGGCTCGCCTGGTCCCTGGACTCTCAGCCACAGCCCAATGGGCAGTCCCAGGCCCTGTTCCCTGTGGGCACCGAGACAGCCAGCCACAGGTGGACATTCAGATGCTATGGCTGCTACAAGAAGGTGCCCCAGGTGTGGTCACACCCCAGTGACACCCTGGAACTCCTGATCTTAGGTGAGAAATTCCCATCCCTATCATATCCATGTTTTGATATCTTTGCTCAGAGGGGAGCTCCCTGTGAGAGGGCAGGGCAAGGCAAGATTCGGAGCTTCTTGATCAGAGACACAGAGTGTGAGAGACATGGTGACACCTATGGGCCAGGCCAGGAGAAGGGGTTTATGGGAAGGGCAGCCCCTGAATCTGGGAAGCCCTCCCTCCTGAGCCAGCAGGGCCCCATCGTGGCCTCTGGACAGAACCTGACCCTCCAGTGTCGCTCTGATGTCGGCTATGACAGATTCACTCTGCACAAGGAGCGGGGATGGGACCTCGCCCAGAGCCTTGTCCTGCAGCCCCAGGCTGGGCTCTCTCAGGCCCACTTCCCTCTGGACACTGTGAGCAGCTCCCACGGGGGCCGGTACAGATGCTACGGTGGATACAACCTCTCCTCTGAGTGGTCAGCCCCCAGTGACCCCAGGGACATTTGTATGGTTGTTGAGGAGCCAGTAGCTTCAGTAAGATACCCAGACTCCACACAGACTGGGCCGATGGGGGAGCGTGTCTCAGGTGATGACAGCCAGGACAAGGACTTTGGGCTCTCCAAGGAAGGAGACAGCATGAGCCATGGAACGGGAGCAAGAGGAATAGACTCAAGGAAAACAGAGACAGACAGAGAGGAGGGTCCTCAGAGAGGCCTGGTGACTCCCAGGGCAGAATGATGTGGGCAGGCAGCTCTCACCTTCCTCTCTCTCTCTAAGACGCATACCTGACAGTCCCCTCCTTATCAATGCAACCAGGCACCTTAGGAGAGAACGTGGTCCTTCTGTCAGTCATAGAGATCGAGGGACACTTTCCTTCTGTCCAAGGAGGGGGCAATCCCCTGATTTCAAATAAAAGTTTTCAGCTCGCCAGTACCAGGCAGAGTTCTCCATGAGT